AACAATTATGAAGGCTCTGTTGAGTCAACTTTTACTGAGGAGTAAGATTTGGCCTTCTGTTTGCACAAAACCAGAAGATTATTCTCTGCATGAAAACTACTAAGGTATTTGTTAAGGATATAATTTGAAGCCTCAGCAGTTAGCTCAGCCAAAGCTTACCTTGAAAAAGTCTGTGAGTACTAGAAGGAAGGTGAAATTGCAAATATTGAGTACTTGGTGCTGTCCCATACTCCATTTTCCCCAGTTGTTCCTTTCCATTAGACCACTGCTTCGGTTGCTGAATTCCTCGTTAAATACTGGTGAGCAGAAGCTGTGTGTTCACAACAGGGGCCTACTGGAGGTGTGAGCACATACTGACAGCCAGGCTGGATGATGGTACAGCAGTGGAGTGTTTTTTTTGTGGGTTTGTAGGGGTGGGAGGACTGTTGTTTTGGGTTTTTTTTAAAGGAATCTGTCACTTCAGTTTGCATCAGAGCAGTCCCAAGAAAGAACCATGAGACATGTTTAACTCGTGATACATACTGATGTACTGGTAGAGTACAAGATTTGGTCAGATATTTTTAAAAGACCCTGACCTGAAATATATTTTTATGCTGACATCAGTAACAGCTTTGTTTATACACAGTGAGGTGAGATGCCTCCAGCTATAGGCGCTTTCTTGAACCCAGGTATTTGTGTTGCTGGAGAATGTAAACACATAATTTAACAATAACTGTTAAATCCATAATGGTCTGTGTGGGCACCCTGCTCTATTCTTGGCTTGTCTTTTTTAACCTGTTGCTATACGACCCCATCGTCAGAAGGTGCCATCTGAAGGTTGGGATTGTTTTCTTTTTATAACTACGACATAAAGTAAAAGTCACTGCTTTCTAGGTGCATCCTGTAAGACTTCATGTAATACATTAGTGACTACTTGGTAGGACTGATGATTTTTTTAATGAATATTCAGTCAACACTCTGAGTTATGATTATTTATAAACATAAATAAAGCTGCTTTTGGATGCTTCAGCAACAGTGGTGACAAACCACTGTGCCGCTTGTGACTAGCTAGAAGACTGTGACACATTCTCTTGAAACTGAATTATGTAGTAATTCATGCTTCTGTGCTCTCTGAACTTGATTATTGTAATTGCTTTGTCTAGGCATGAAGCCACACATCTAAGGGGCCTGACTAGCACACACCACAGTGGCTGACCGTGCAGTAGCCTGGCAGAATACTGGGACCCTGCTCTTGGGGTATCCTGACTTCTCCTAAGTGGATTCCTTTGTAAGGTTTTCTCATCTTCAGAGTCTATCAAGTCTCTCTCATCTTGTTTTCCTGCTTGTGATGTATAACTGCACTGATGTGCCACTGAAGCGGGAGGGCTGGGGAGAACAGGGAGCCATGGCTCTAAAAGTGACAGTGAGAACTAAATTCCTTAACCCCCAGTGAGTTCTTTGCCAGTGGGTAACTGCTTTCCTTTTTTAACTGCTGCATGCAAGTGCCAAACTCACTTGCGAACTCATGCCATGTTTCATCCAGGGTTGGAGGGAAGATAACATATAAACAGTTTTCAGGATTTAAAAACATTATGTTAAGGTGAATACTTCCTAATTGAATTCTTAAAAGTTAATTTGTGTGCAGTTCCACCTCTAAGGTCAGATTGCTCTGAGAGTTTGGAGGGTTAGTTTTGTGGTCTGTCTTACCACATGAACGTACCAGAGCAAAGACAAATATTCTAGATTAGTAAGTACTCTGTGAATAGATGTGAAAGTAGCTTTGTTCAGTTTTTTTTATGGGTTTTGGGTTTTTTTTTTTTTCAGCCTGCTTAGTTTCAAATAGATAGTTGTTTGCAAAATCTTATAAAGCTAGGATTAATTTCACAAGCTTTAGCAATACTCCATATTCTTAACATTTTTTAGTACACTTAATTTAACTTTAGAACCACGTATGCATTTTAAGGCACTGCAACCAAGAGTCTGTATGGCAATTGCTGTTGTCAGTGTCATGTCTGAAACTCTACTTCATCCTCTTTACGAATATAAATGAACCCAAAATAACTCCGTGGCTTCTCAAATAAGTAAAGTATATTTGAAGCTCACATACTCGCTAGTATTCCTTTCCTGAAGGTATTAGGCTACATAAGAACTAGGGATGACCGTACGAGCAGTTGCAGCCGCTGGTGGGTGGGTACCTCCTGCAGCTGTTCATTCCCGGAGTCTCATTGTGCTGCTGTCTCTTTTTTTTCATGTTCTGGTGTCTAAGAATGTTCTCCTGGTACTTGCATGGTATGTGCTCCAGCTGTAATTTAATTTTCACCCTAACGTTTTCATAATAGTGTGCTCTCTGCACAGGGTGGGTATTGATAAGCAGCTGCTTGGCTAAGGGTATTTTAAGGTATTAGGGTGGTGGTGGCCAGAAAGTCAGAAATAGCTGACAAAGCTGTTTTGTTTTCTTTGGGGAGGCTGTGCTTTGTATGCACATATCACTTGCCAAAGGTATTATTTCACTCAGCATTACCAACCTTCTTTTTTAATCCTTTTTTTTGTCATAACATGCAAATTTTTTGCCTTTTTTGTAGTAGGGAGAGTTTTCTTTGAGTGAAAACGCAGATATTCCATATTCAACTAACATGTGAAAAACATACTGGCTAGGTGACAGTTTTAGGCCCATATTAGAAAACTTGGAATTATGACTTTTCAGCAAATATAGATGTATTCAAAAGAGCTTCATGTAATCTGTAGCAGGCTGGATGCAAACTTTACAGAAGAACCTCTCATGCTGTGGTATTCTGGGCTGGAAACTCTGTGGTTCCTTCATTTGCACCAATTATTTTTTTACATATATGCAGAATAAATTTTAGTTAAATAGCCTTATTCTCATTGATATATAATCAATCACATAGCCTAGTGTTAAATACTTGCGTATCAGTTTGGGGATAGGTTGCCATTGGGCTATAAACTCTCATTTAACAGCAACAGCACAGTAATTGTCAGACAATATCCAAAGGCTTGAGGCTTCAGTCCATGGCATAGTTGAGACTTCCTTATGAGGGTGGTGGAGACATTCTAGGATTGTGAATAAGTTGATATATGAGGCTACTTGACAGCTGCACTTTGTGTACCTAAGAGTTGGGTCCTTACCTTAACATCTTCATTAAAGCCACCAGTAAGATCTTTATCAGTATGGTCCACGCTTTACTGTTGTGGGAGTTTGTAATTTGCATTGCTACTTATGAATGTAGCTGTTAATTTCTCATGAAGTAAGTGTTGCATGTTGCCTACAGACTGGGAGGACCAGGGAAATAATATTTCTTTGGATTGCACTTGAATCAGGTGCTAGAGGGCTTTTCTAACTGTAAGATGTAGAAACTTTTGTTTTAATTGCAAATTTATTATGGAAAACAACGTAGCCAAAAGGAGGGGTTCAATGGAAAAATCTGCACCCAGGCTATACATCTCTGTAGTACCCTATGTTTAACAGTATTATTGCCATTTCAGCAACTGCTTATGTGAAAGAGTGATAATAGAAAAGCATTTAATGTAATATTAGAGGGGGATTAATGTAAATTATGAGCTAGCAATAAGAAGGAAACATCATGTTACTTGTCTGCTCTTACCAGACCTCAAGCAAATGCTTTACAAACCACAGTTTGATTTGCTGTTCCAGCTTTTCAAATTCCAGTATGTGATTGTTTCTCAACCAACTTGAATGCTGCTGTACTTTTCCTCTTGGTTTTAAGAGATCAGAAAAAAGAACAAACTGTTAAGAATGACTGAAAAAATCAGAGACTTTCATATGAATATTGGTGAAGTTGTGATTACAAGTTGGAATCTGCCTAACTCAATCTAGTAAAATCTTTGTCCAAACTTTTAATAATTTTTTCCCCTCAGTGAATAGTCTCAAAGACAGATATTTATTATTATGTGCAATTTTTGAGCTGTCATTCCAAGTCCTAACTAATAAAACCATAACAACCACTGAAATAATAGTTAAGTTATGTGGATTTGTAGCATTTCAATTGATGAGTAAACCATTCCAGTATATTGGCATTTGGCCACTTCACTATGTAACAGTGTTTTTTATGAAGTATTGCTGTAGCAACAGATCTGGATGACATTGGGTAGCTGGTTGCTGCTGACTGTTAGAAATAAAACAGACTTTTAGCAACACATGTGTAATGTCTGAAGGTAAAGTAACCCAAAATAAGTCCTGTGCTCTACTGAGAATGTAATATGGAGCACATCAAGCCGAAGTCTGCCTTGCTGCCTTATGTGAAAGTGTGTCTGTACGGTGAAAACAAAACCATGTATGCTAGTAATATGTGCAACAGTTGAAATCTGAGAATAAAATAAAGGAAAACTGAGAGAAACTGCATTGCAGATGATTTTAAGCACAAAATACCAGTTATTTTAAAGGCGTAAAGAATTCAAGTACTATAGGAAATGCTTCTGGAGGTGTTATTTCAATGGAAAAGCTTGTTGGGGAAAGAGGATACAGAGATTAAAAACTTCACTTGCTCTCCTGAAGAACCAGCAAGTGAAAAAAGGCATGAGAAGTAGAAAATGAAACGAATTCAAGTGAAGCTGAAACCTGTTTTTTATTAATAGCTTTTATTTAGAACAGTATTTCTTGGTTACTAAAACGCTGAGCATTTGTTATATGACACAGCCAAGTTAAAAACTTAACAGAGCATTTAGATCAATATAGCAAAGTAATATCTTTAGATAGAGAGATCTTCAGAAGTCTATCAAAGGAAAGGCAAAACCCCTGGGGAAATATTTTTTTCTTTTCTCTTCATTGCGGATGATGTTTTTAAGTCCACTTTAAAGATGGAAAAATACAGTCACCTTTATACATGTTAGCAGGTCATAGGAGAATTTACTCTCAAAGTAGTACAATGTTGTGCCTTCCAAATGAAGTATTACATTAAAGTATACATGAAACACACTTTCAAGACTTAAATGGAATTTTCTGATAGTCTAATAATCAGGTTGATTTTTTTTTTTTTATTTTAAAGATAAAAATACAGACATTACTGTAAAGGATAATACAGATGACTTCTGCCTTCGAGATACATTAAGCATTGCATCAACCGACTCCTTTGTTTCCACAGCTGAGGTAAGACTCTCAAAGATTGCTTCTTTAAAGATTCATTCATCTATTTGAACAGTGAACAGAAGAATCTTAACTTTTTGCTAATTATTGTAAGCAAAGTGCATTTTTCTTATGGGGAAAAAAAAGAAGCTTTCCTTGCCTAGTTGTAACCAGCTTCCTAGCAGTTCAAGTAATGAAGTTGGGATCAATTTACTTATTATCTTTTTTTTTTTGTTCACTGGCAGAATGTTTCTTCAACTTCTAGAAAGAAGTTGCTTTTGAAAAATATATCAGATTTTCATGAGTGAAGAAGTACAATCAATTGAGGCTATAGTAGTTCCTTTCACCATGAATTGCATTTTTCTATTCTCTTTTTTGTTTTTCCTATTCCCTTACCATAATATAAAGATGTACGAAGAAGGCTTTGTCTTTTTTTGGACTTCATTTTTTTTGGAGAGGAAATTATTAGAAATTGACAGCTACCTATTTTAGTACGTTCCATGCACAATATAATATACTTCATCTAACTTTCCTCAATCTTCTTGGATATGACCACAAAGGATACATAAAGAAATAACTTTGGATAGCAGGGCATTGTCTATTAGCTGAAATCTGCTCCAGCTCCCTTGAAGTATTTGAAAGAATTTTATATACAGCAACACACAAATGAATGAGGAATATCTCCTTTTATAGCCTCTCAGGAGCTGAAGTGATCTTGAATAGCACTCTTCTCCAAATTACAGGAAAGGCAGTTGGTCTCAATACATACATTCTGTGTTAGATATTGCTATTATGTATGCACTACAACTAAGCTACTAAACTCAGACAGTTATAAAAAAAGAGAAAATTGCATACACGTTCTTTGCAATTATCTTTTGACTGTCTATTGTATGGTTTGTTTTTCCATGACACAAATTACCTTGATTTAGTAATTCACATTAAACTGTGATTGTCTTGATTTAGTAATTCACATTAAGTTGTGATGGTATGCCTAGCATTTATTCCTAACTAAGAGTGTGTCTACAGAGACTGGTTACTCTTTCCTGTCATTTGGACAAGACCAAAATTCAAGCTTGCTTCAACTCTTACCTGCTTTTGAGAGGAGCTGTAAACCATTATAGTTTTTACACTTTGTATCTGTTTTTTTGGTGGGTTTGGTTTTTTTTTTTTATGAACTTTCCTAGTGTTTTTGCAAGTATGTGGAGATGGGAATAAACCATTATGCTTATTTGTGTTCCTTGGCTTAAAAACAAACAAAAAAACCTCAAAAAACCCTGAAAACCCCAGGATGTATCACCTCAGTGGAATAACCGTCTTATCCTGAAGCTAAATTGTCTCAGTATTTGCTACAGAAATGTTTGAGTCAAAATTGGCAATGGAATTGTCTTAACATATTCTGAAAATATTCTCCAGATTTTGATACTTTAGAGCCACTTCTGTCAACTCTTTCTTCCAGAACAAAGTTACGAAGATTTTCTCTTCCTTTCCAGCTGTTCTAACCTTTGCCGATAGAACAAGCTCTCTGATCTCCTTTCTCAGATTTTATTGAAGAACCTATTAAAATTCCGAGCTGATAGAAGGAGTCCTGAAGATTAACAAAGCCATAAACAACTTGAAGTGTGGTGTTCAAACCAGAACACCATCAAAATTCTGGATTAAATATGAGCCACTAGGCTTAAATTACAGGGCCAGTTAGCTCTCTAATAGTAGCTACTGGGGCATCGCTGTGTGGTGCAGGTAAAATAAAGCTGTGAATTGGTCTTCTCTTATGAATATAGTGTTACCTTGATGTAAAGTTTTGTCTGTCCTCTGGGGGGAAAAATGCTTTAAATTAGTACTGCAAATAACTATGGCAATGAGAAGGAGTAATAACTACTACTTAGTGTATTTCAGCTATTAGTAGAGAACAGTGATTACGTTGATGTAACTGGATTAGAATTGACGTAACAGATTTTTTTATTCTAGACATGATGGTGTCAGGTAGCTTCTTCTTGCTTATCTGCTTCTTTCATTTTGTTATTCTTGCACTTGCAAAAAAGTGGAATGTTTCAGGCTAAGAGGTTTGAGGCTTTTCCAGCTTTGGATATGTCTCAGCTAATGGGCAAATAGGCAGTTTTTCTTTTGTCCTGTGCTCCCTGATTGCAGTTACAATTTTAGTAACTATCCTACAGTCTGTGTGCTGATAGAAATTTTTAGCAAAGTTTTTAAACCTGAAATTCATGTAAGTGTGTATAGTGCTGTGAGATTTTGCCCTACTGGAATCATTAGTAATTTCACCTTCTGGGAAATTACAAAGTAGCAGCATTTTTTGTGCTCACATCATACTACGAACTGTATGTTCACAGTTACTCATCTTCCTTCTACATTGCACCCTGTCCCAAGGAGCAGTGTGACGCTGGTTTTAAAGACAGGAAGCTATTCCCATGTTCAGTGCTGACACACAGTCAAGTCAAATTTAGTTCACTGCCCTCAGGAGAGAGAACAGCAAAGACACAGGGAATCCTAAAACAAGACAAAGGTAGATGTTTTGATGGAAATTGATAGGGATACTGCTTAGGAGGCAACAAGAATGTTGTGCTGTGTTGTATTAGGACAAAACATAGGAAGATGGCTTTCAAGAAAAGAACTGTACAAAACTGGGACAGTTGGCAGAGTTTAAATCACATGCCGTTTTGATGAGCTCTACAGGATAGCAGTAGGGTATGCCAAAACTTCATCTTGGCTGTGGCTGATAGTCAAGAGGATGCTGAGGACCATGCACTTGATGACTTCTCATACAGAATTGTGCCTACAATACACAAGTGCCCGAATCCTTATAAAGGATTTAGACAGACAGTTGCCATCCCCAAGCCCAGACAGACTTCCATTCCTAAACACACATAGGCTCTCAGAAGCACTGCAGAAGGGATGGTAAGCACAACCATTTGCCCTAATTAAGTTATCGATACTATGTACTGTGATAAATAATGGTATTTTCTTCCCTATTTGAGACCATCTCTCATCAATTTGTGATTATGAGGGTTAGTATCCTTTTAATATTCTTGCTGTCTCACCTACTGTGTGATCAAAATAGCTGCCACCTTTGGCAAGAATACAGCAGTGAGTGTGCCAGATGAAGGTCTCTACCCTCTTTTTCTTGGCTTCTTTTCCATCTTTCCTATAGAAGTTCTTTCCTGCTCTCCCTGACAGTGAGCTTTGTTGCTGCCTCTCCATTGTCAGTGCACATGCATTTATCATGTCTTATTTTCATATCTTGACTAGAGCTGAATCTGTAGTTCTATTACCAAATAAGCTTTGCTTTCTTTATTAAAATGTTAACTCAATCCAAAGCTTAGGAGATTTTTTTTTTTAGACTTGTGAATAAAGCCTTAGCTGCTCTTTTTTTATCAGTAATTCCTTTACTAAGGTTGTCTCTTTCTCAGTTGAAATCTATTAAAACAAAACAGTGCAGGAAGCAGCAGGCTTTGATAACAGGGAAAGAACATCAGTCTTTGTATGCCTGTAATTATTTGTATATGGCACCAAAGCCTTCAAAGTGACTGAAATTGAATTTTAGATTCAGAAAGTGCTCAAAAAGAGCCCTGCCTGCCTACTGAAAGGTAGCATTACCTTTTTCCTGGTGTCCAGATAGATGTTTTATTCCTTTCCTGAAATAGGGAATACCAGAGGGAATAATGTTGGCAAGTAATAGTAAGGTGCATTCCTATAGCATTTATAAGTGAAGTGTTTAGTTTGGTTTTCTCCTGTTTCATCACAAAAATCAGAGACATGCCCTCCTGTATTCTGACTGCCTTCAGAAGTGTGACCACAATCACTAATCTGATCTTCTCATCCTGGTCGCTTCCTCCACGTTCATGTCATCTGTCAAATTTGATGTGGGTTATTGTCTTACCTCAGAAACAAATGTAGTACAGCAGTCATGCAGTCTAGCATGCCCTGGGTAGCAGCTTGTAAGGAGCTCCCTATTCTAACAACTTTAATGAGGTATGGAGGTGCCTCGTATTTATAGTCTTAAAACACATGCAGAAAGAGAGGAAAGAATTAATCCCTGTAGTCTTTCATTCTGCTAACAGTAATACTATTTCTTTGAAGAACCTGTACCTGAAGCGCCACTAACCACTGCCTGCTACTCTGGGCAAACTCAAAAGATTTCGTGGTGTCCAGTGAAGCATGATATCCAGTAATAAAGGTTGTCTATTCATATCATCATGAGAAGCTTTCCACCTCCCAATAAATGTCGGTGGTGGTGTAGGCAACAGAAAAGTTCTGTTCAACTCTGGGAAACACCTCCCATTCCTATGTCCTTTCTAACAAATTTCTCGAACTTCATGCTTCGTGCTGTTTTGTTTTGGGTTTTTTTTCTCCATTCTTTGTCTCCTGCGTCCTAATAGATGTAGTCCCAGTTAAAAAGATTGCATTGTGGGGAAAGGTTTTCCATGTGGCAATGAAGAGTGGTCAACGAGAACCGGATTCCTTTGATTCCCTCCAAGGACAACTGTCGTTGCTTGCTGCATGGCTATGAATAGGAGAACTTAGGCCAACAAGTCATTAAATCGTGCTCTAAAAGCTTTAAAAATAATAATAAAATAAAAAAATCTGGAGTTGATCCTTGTCCTCTGACAGAAACCTTAGCTATGTGTGGTATTTGCCTAGTATATTAAATGTTTTCACTTCTAGGACAAAGAGGAGTTTCATGTAATAGCCCGTGTGTTCCTATACGCTGACTGCTCATACTATACAGTTTTTAATTCTTGGGAAATAATTTTTGTAACAAATCCCATATATTAGCACTGAACTAATTTTTGTACCGTAATACCTCCATGTTAGCCTAGGATTATTCTGCCTGGCAAGGAGTAGTACTACCACTGATGCACACAACATAGTGAATTCACGTTCTTCATTATGCTTAAAATTAATAAAGTTGCAGCAATAATTCAGATAAAATCATGTTCTGAATGTGTTTTCCTCAAAGAAAATGTATAAGATGTCTTGTAATATATACAAGTAAGTATAGAAGGAGCTCCTGAAACTACATGAACTTCCTTCCTGTTCTCTGCCAGATATTAGGAAGAATGCACCACTTTATCATTTCAGTTTATTAAAGTACCTTCTCAAATGTTTTAGTTAGTAACCACCATCACACCTTCCAACTCCCAAAACGTTTCACACTCATCCTGCAGCTGCTGATGGTTTTTTTTTTTAAAAAAAATCTTCTTTTAAAAGATACCCAGAGAAAGAGATCGTCATCATCATCCTTTTTAATATAGGATAAGCATAGTTTCTCAGAATGTAAGGAATGTTGACTGTGCCAGTAAATTGACCTTTTTATTAGGGGGAGCAAGCAAGAATTCCTAAAAGGTCTAGCATTGTTTATTTTTGTTACATTCATGTAGGTGGTTATTTTTGTAGTCAATAAGGTCTTGATGCACAGCTGAGAATTTTTTTCTACTTATTAAGAAACAACTTGTGGGTGTCAGATAAGAGTACGGAGTGTGTTTATTAGACCAGAGCAGTCAGGGAACCCCAGGCTGAAAAACTACTGCAAGTTCCAGAGGTTTGATGCTTTACAAAAATGGTTTCAGCATCTCTTTACTGGCAGATGCAGCCTTAAAGCGGAACTGTCCAGAGAAAACTGATTAGCATCTGAACAAAAACAATCCATGTTGTAATCTTCAGAGGCTGCTTTGCAGCACTGTGTGTAGAGATACAAGTTATCACTCCAAGCTTTGGAGTTTTGAAGACGTACATATTATTTCAACATAATGAAGTTAGGTATCCACTGCAGGTCATCATAAATGTCCTGTGCAGTGGTCACCAACTACTCTTTTGAGTCTTGAATGGGTAGAAGTAAAGCATTACAAGATTAGATTGCTGCTATAGGGTGATACATCTTTTCAACTCTTCTTTGTCTGCATTTTCATATTCTTCTTCATGTAACCCACATGGCACTGAGGAAATAGCAGATGTTTAGAGGCTGGCACGTCAGGTCCATCGTCACAAGCCTCCGTGTTACTCACAACTACCAGCACTTTCGGTAGCTGTGCATGGACGACGTTTTCATTGTTAGTGGTGCATTAAGAGTTTCAGAATGGCAGTAACTGTGCAAAGAAGGGTTCACTACAGAGTGGCAAGAAAGGACTCAAGGAGCTTCAAGAGTCCAACTTACTGTGATGACAAGATGTGGGATGCTGGGGCTTTCTGCTAATTTTTGATAAATACTGAACCAATGTTGAGGAAAGTTATGCAGTGCAAAGGGGCACATAGTGCGGTAAAAAGCAGGTACCTGAATGCATATCACGAATGCATGCCAATTAATATAAGGTAGTTATAGTGAACCATCTCATTTAAAACTAACCTTTCTCTCCACCATTTTCCTCAAACATAACAAGTCCTTGGAGACTTTTACAAGAAAGAGTTAATTTTCCTTTTGATGTCAGTTTGAGAAGTTCTTATCTAGAAAATGTTGTATGCTCTGCATGTTGTTAAACATTGTATATCATTTGTCCATTCTTCTAATAGCTGAACTCTGCTATGTTAGAAATGTGCATGTGTGTTTGGAGCATCTTCAACTAATTTTATTTTGAAGCAGGATGTTTATATAGGCAAGCTTTCACCTTATTTCATCTCAAAAAGAATGGCCATTACTGAATGTTTGCAAGACCGTTTAAAATATAATACTTTATGTTACATATATATACATTGTTTGTATCTACGTATAAAATATTTGTATATAAATATATTTTTAAATACTAGACAGCATCAAAAGAAAATCCATGATGATGCCAGGAGCATTACGATTGTCTGGAAATCACCTTTTCTAGTTAAACTTAGAGGTCGTTTTAGTTTCTGGTTTTCAGTTTATTTTGTTTTTTTTCTCCTCTCCTCTTTTTGCATGCTAAGAGAAGTCAGTGATAGAGGAATTTGCACCCCCTTTCCAAATGTTCTTGGTTGGGACTAACTTCAATCTGTAATCAAAACCATCTTCTCAGCAGAAGAATAGTTATACCGTTCTGCTTAGTAGCTGGTTGATTTAACTGCTTGCTTTGTTTGAGCTCAATAATACGCATTACAACAGTAACACAGCTATTTTATTTCATCTGCTAGCATGAGAGGAAGTTTAAAGAAAAAAAAAAAGCTAAATATAATCAAAGGCCTCACCAGACTCTCAGGTATCAGATTCTATGCTAATCTGTAACCACAATGGCTATGATCAGGCATCTTCATGGGCTGAAGATGATAACATCTCAGGCTTGCTGGCAGCAAATGGAGATTACCTGCATCTAACTGTAGAGATCACGAGTCCTAATTCAGTCACAGTCAGTCAATTTGCTTAAATATCTGAAGAAGGAGATTTGCCTGAAGTTCACTAGAGAAAACTAATATAATCCCTTTTACCACAGAAATGATAACCTCCAAGAGAGGGACAGCTGTTTACAAAGTGCATATGTGTTCACAACCTATTTCTTCTCATGCTTTGCAAATGAAATAAAGTAAATGGAATGTTTTATGGCTTCAGTAATAGCTGGATCAGGTAAGAAATAAATTAGTGTACTTATTTATGTTCTGTTTTGGTCTTTATTTTGGAAAATATGTATGTATTGTTCCACAGTTAATACTTTCTTAACCATAATGTAGAAAAACAAATTCTGGAGTAAAGATTTCTCACTTGTTCTTGTTTATACCTGTTCTAACTATTACACTATATATACACGTGTATGTGTGTGTGTGTGTGTCTGTATGTATATTGATTTCTTATATCTGAAAGAAATCAATATATTTCTGTTTCTTCCAGTTGGTTAAATTATTCCTTCCTATATATTTTCACATATATTTTCCATTAAAAGCTGTGTGGCTTCCTTTGTTTAATAAGAACATAAATTTTCAGGTGGGCGTTTTGAATTAGCGAATCCAAACCACAATTTGGTGCTATGATTAATATTGTTAAATTGGAATAAAATCTTTGGCCTTAATAGCTGTAGATCTTTTTTAGGAAGTCAACTTATTCTACTCTGTTCTTCCAAGCAAAACAACTGATAAACAAATACATACTTCTAAAATGGAAATACTTTCAAGCTGAAAGTGTACATTACTCATTTAAGTATAACATTTTGTTGACCTTATTCCTTCACTTATTCCCTAGCTATCATCCCAGCACTTGAGTCTCAAGAACTCTATAGAAAGCTGTATAGGAATACAGATTTTATTTTTTCTTTTTACTCAAACAAGTCAATTTAAAATGGAACCTGACAATTTTGTGAAAGGAATTGTATGTATTTGCTTACAGTAAAAAGATGCTGGTATGAGTGATTCAAAACATCAGTGTAAGTTCCAGCAAATACATATCATCTAACAATGTGTGACGCTTGTCAGAACACCAACTCTGTACTGAAATTTCTGTAACTTATTCATGGGCTTAAATGTTTACATGGACAAAAATAAGTATTAGCACGTGCTAATATTCTTCCCTTTAGCAGGCAAGCCTACTTGGCCAAACTGTTGTTGCTGTAATTGGCTCAACTAAAGTGTGTGGAGAAGACACACTGGAAGCATACTTCTTAATGTCTTTATGAAGTCTCATGCCAGCACTTGCCTGTATGTCCTCAGTGATAGGAAAAACTTTTCAGCATATATTTCTTTGAAAATTTTAATGACAGTTTAACATAAAGTTACATTTTAATCTGATTTTTTTAATCTTGCTAAGATATAGGGTAACTGTTTTTATATAGTTCAATTATTGTGAGAATTATTTTTTAAAGATGTTTCTAAGCTCTGTTTTTATAGCCTAGAAGCACAGGTTTGTTTCCCTCATGCAGGATATTAAAAAAAAAAAAAGGATTAAAAAAAATAGTTAGAATTCATTTTGTAGTAATTAACTAAACTGAAGGATGTGTAAGCCTCTGATTTTTTTGGAATCATTAATAATATGAGGTAATGTTTGTAGTGGAAATTGTAGCTAGCTATTGTTTTGTGGATTAAATATGATATCCTGTAAACAGGAGTTCTCTAGTATTTATGTGCTTCGATTTCTTAATCTGATTTTGGTTTTTCTTGCTCTGAAAATGTCTATGAGTTGATGTTAATGTATGTGATAACTACAAAATTAAAACCGCCAATAATGAAAACCTTTTTGGGAGCCTGTAGTAAAATGCTGGATTCTTATGCTTCATACGATATGCTTTGGTAACTAGCAGACATATTTACCAGTGAAACAAAAACAGGGGTGGGAGGACGTTACTATTTCCAGCTTCCTAAAGATTTGCATGATGCAATCATCTCTACTTTGCGTTCTGACAATTTTTTTTTAAACAGCTTTGAGATCCATTAGATTTAACTAGGGAAATTAAAAACTTTACTAGGCAAATTAAAAACAAAACTAAGCTGCCTGCATTTTAATAATTAAACTTTTGAAACTTGAAGCCTGAAACTCTAGAGTTCAGATTTTAAAAGTTACAAAGTAACAGTCTTGTTAACAGTGTGGTGTTTCTCTTCTGTTTACTAGTTGAGTGTTGACCCTTTGTTTTAAGCAGATGTGGAAAAGGATACATCTTTCACTAGAATATCAGGAAAACTTCTTTAATTTGTTTGCTAACATAATTTTTGTAAAGATATATCTCTTTAATGAACTTCAAAAAAATTTTTTTTCAGCTTACAGAGCACAGAGAGATTCGCAATACATATGGTCTAGATTCCCTTTGCCATTGCCCATTGTATGAAGAAGCTATGCACTTAGCAGAAGAAGGCAAAATTTATTCACGAGTGTTAAGGTATTGATTTATGTCTACTTAATTATTTCCAAGAAAAGCAAGAATTAAAGTTAAATATTCTATATAGAACTCATTTTTTAGAAGTTACTTGTACTAGGTATTTTTTCTAGGAATTAGACTTAGTTGAATTTTCTTGTGCTTCTTTTTTTAATGGTCTTTGAAAACTTTTCTATTTTATATAGGACCGAAATGTTTGAATGTCTAGGAGACAGTGACTTCCTTGCTAAGCTTCATTGTATTCGACAAGCTTTTCAGGTAAATAGTAAGGAGAATGATTTTTCTGTCTATCTTGTTAAGCTTGAAGTACATGGCATTGAAACTATCAATGCACTACCTGTACAAGCATTGTTATAACATATTCTGTAATTAAATATTTTCTTGTTGCTTTTACATTTCTATAATTCTAAAATGGGACGTATTTGCAGAGGAGTCCCAGTTTTGTGATTAGCTTTGGAACCTTTGCACCAAAGGCTTATTAAAAACTGGCCTACTATACTCGTGGTTATAATTATATTAAATTTGATTGATGTTTAAGGTCACTTAGTATAACCTGTGAATGAATATGTCTATATTTTCTGAAATCTTTTCTAGATAATTCTTTCAGAAACAGCAAACAGAATATTTCTTGCTGAAAGTGGAAGAAAAATTTTGTCTGCTTTAATTGTGAGAGCACGAAAGGTAAAAGCCTTTTTTAACTAATGTTTTATTATTAAAGTGACTTGTACCAGAATTCACTTTCCAGTGTAAATAAACCATCTCTCATGTTAAGTTTGCTTGATACTCCTTGCTTTTACTTTACAGAATCCAAAGAAATTTGAAGATGTCTTTGATGAAATGATACATTTTTTGGAACAAACAGATCACTGGGATAATACTGAAATGGAACTTGCTGCTAGAGGAGTGAGTCTGGATTTCTGAAAAGTGCTTTTACCCTTAATTATGCAAACCGTAGCATCTAAAAATAAATTTTTACCGTTCAGAATTGTGGGAAAGGCAACTCTTTTTCGTTTACATTGCTGATTTAGAGAAATGGCATCCACCGCTGCAGTTTAGTACCAGAAAGCACATAATATTTTTTTTTAACTTCTCCTTTACTGACAGAGTATCTTTAATATTCATTAAAAACAATTACAAATCTGCATGTTAATATACAGTTAAAATACGATGCATGCTGAATTCCACTACTGAAAGAGAAACTAGGTTACTTAGATCATGTTCTGATTTAATATAGGTGAAAAACCTGAATTTTTATGATGTTGTTCTGGACTTCATATTAATGGATTCATTTGAAGATTTAGAAAATCCACCAATATCTATACAGAATGTAGTAAATAACCGCTGGCTAAATTCCTCTTTTAAAGAAACAGTAAGTATTTATATGTAATTCACATAATCATTATTCTGTAGTACATTGCAATAAGTAGATGGTATGATCAATATAACATTGGTGTGAGCATTCTGATATAAAATGGCTGTATATGCCGAAACTGTTCTTCTGGCGATCTGTGCTTTATGTTTTTAGAGCACAATGTAAAAACGAGAATAAATACAACAACTGCAGGATAAAGACTGTGTATATAGTCTTGATAATAGCATTAATTTTGAAGGAAAGAAACTACATCATCCTTCCTCACTGTAAAGTCTAATTCAGCTTCCTATATAATTGAATATGTACCTGAAATAATCATCAGAAAAAATAAACAGATTGTATTATCAGGTTTTTCATAATAGCAATTTAAAAGCTACAAGTCTGGGCCCAAAATATGTAGAATGATTGAAAGTATTGGAGGAAATACTTTAATTTGTCCTGTAAAAAGGAGTTTTCTCTGAGGAAGTAGAATTTTAGAAGGGAAGTTTGTTAGCCGCATCTTAGATATTAGATACATGTTTTGGTTCGTATACCAGAGATTCAGCCATAAGGCACAAAAGTGCAAGCAAACAAAAGTAAATTAATTCAATACAGGCATTCAAATGTTGATAACCTTTCATGCTTTTTCAGATGTGCCTGTTTATTTGTTAGATAGATCTCATCCCTCTGCTACAGACATACAGGCTGCTGCTGTGGTCAGCTGGTAGAGATACTACAGTCATTTCATCCATTTATATCTATAAACTGCTAGTTTTCCCTTTATTTTTCTCTTTCAATTTAAATATTCCCTCTAGAGGAAAGAAAAAGGTAACATGCATGTATTTATTTTTGCAGTTATGTGATAACATTGTGTTTTGTGAGTAGTAAATTATTTTGCAGTACTGGAGGAGAATCAGATGAGGATAGTTACAAGCTATGAGGGGAATAAGCCTAGTACTGATATCGGTGTATTGTATTTCACAGGTCCATATTTGGACAAAATTCTTTAGCTGAATCTGAAGCTATTGCAAGAATGTGTTTGCTAAAATGAAAAAGGACATTTCAATGTGTTCACATGCTATTTAATATCTAAAATAGTTACTTATGTCTGAGCACGCACTTTGGTGCATGAGAGACTGGTCCTCAGTTAAACCCAGTGAATGTTGCTAACTGTTGCAACTGTAAAATCAGTCAAGGTTGCCAAATTACAGTTGAATTAAACTAAAGAAAATGTTGCAAAGTGAGATCTGAAAATCACAACTATGAACTACATATAAAATTAGTTATTTGTATCAGCTGATGTTTTATAGTTTTAAAATTTGTGTTATCACAAGATTGAAACTGAAGAAAATACAAATCCCCAAAATACAGAAATATAGTATTCTGCAGATCACTTCTTTTGAGATGAAAGATAATTTCTCTTACAATGAAGTTACACAGGGTTTTGGGCTTTTTTTGTTTTTTTTTTTTACGTTTAGGCTGTGGCTTCAAGCTGTTGGTCAGTACTGAAGCAGAAAAGACAGCAAATGAAGGTAAGTTGCCTTGCAAATTATGTGGACCAAAGTTACTGATCAGCTCCTAAGAATTTGAAGTTCTGTCCTGTAGCTTTGGCAAAATAAATTACAGATGAGCCCTTAATCCTGTAGACATGTTAGTTTAGACAAGAGGCTGCCAATTGTGTAAGTTTTGCTTATGGTGCCCTAATATCAGTTTTTTAGCAAAAAGTCTTAGCTGAAAGATTTTCAACCTAGTTTGGGTCCAGTCAACAGTGGTGACAGTAATTTCTCTGACTTACGGCCCCACACATGTACCTCAGCTTTTTGCAGACTTATTAGTCTTGTACCTCACCTGCTTACACTAGGATTCTCAACCCCATCTCCCTGCATCATCTCCACAGCTAAATAAAATTCAGTCCTGTCCCTTTACCTACCTGAAGTGCCATCTTCCTCGCCAGCAGCAGGAACTCTTGCAGCCTCCTTCTGCATCCTGACCTCTCTGCAGATTTCAAAGTAGAACTCCTCTGTGCCAGCAGCTCCTTACTTCCACCTTTGGAGACTTTTATTAGACATAGGAGGCAAATGCCCAATCTCGGTAACAGCCAGTCCAAAAGCAGAGTTGAGGCTTGCTGCAGGACATCCATAGCCATTAGAAGTGGTTTTGCATACCGCAGGTGAGGAATCTCTGCTGAAGTGATTGGCACTGACACCTTTCTCTGATTCTAAGAATAGCTATTTACGCGACTGCTAACTGCTAAAGACATATTTCATCGCAAAAAAAGTAGCTTGCAATGTAAGTTGGTATTTTGCAAAAGGTCCTCGTGTCTTAAGATTTGAGATGTTACATCCCTGTGTCAATATGGTTGGAAATTTTATATAAAACTAGTGTAGAAAAGATCTATTTATATAAAAGGATTATATTTCCAAAATAGATGTTATAGTAACCTATTATTTTCATGTCTAGTTCAATGCACAGCTACCTTACTCTGTAGTTCCTCTGTATACTGAAGTCCAAATATTTATATGTTTGTAAATGTGTGAGTAACTTTACTCGTTGGGACTACTTTCATCAGCGCTGCTGCAGTCTTTCGGAAGTGGATAAAGTTAAGCACCATGGCAGTTTTTGTAAGGGAGAGACTAACTACCACAAGGAGTTTGATGAACTTAAATTTACTTACAGATAGTTCTTTATGTGGTATTTTATGTTTTAATTTATGATTAATTTCTATTTTTATGATTTTATAAATTAACTGATGTTGTAAAATGATAAATATATGGGTATATAAACTAAACTGTACATTCATATATGATACATAAATTTATACTATATTATATTTTATGAGTGCCTGTAGGTTGTAAAAGTAACAACAGGATGGACATTCACAGATATTTTATGTTTTTCTTTAGATTTAAAGATAGATTCTTGTAAGGTGTAATTTTTTTCCATTCAAAACTGCAGTTTGCTTACTTTTTTGCAAGTTTCAGCTATACATAATGTATAGGGGCTCAAACAAGAATAACTGAATAAAGTTATCTGATCTGTCATATGGGAGTCAGAGTAGATTGTTCATGATCTTTTGGAGCTTATGCCGATTAATCTTTAAAATATTTAAAATACAAAGTACCACTGAAGTAAGAACCTTTTCTAAAAAAAATCATGACAATTGTTTGGTACAGTTGCCCTATAACTTAAAGGAGTTCAAGTTACCGCAGCCCTGAAGTAGTAGGTGTTTCAGGCTTTTCTGAAGATTTAATTTTATATAATAGAGATTTGTACTAAATTTAGTGTGTAACTTTTGTCTACAATTTTTACATCACTAGGTGCCTGATGGATTTTTTGCACATTTCTATGCTATATGCGAACATATCAGCCCTGTTCTGGCGTGGGGCTTTTTGGGCCCTAGAAATTCCCTTTATGACCTATGCTGCTTCTTCAAGGTTTGCAACTTTTTTTTAATTACCACTTATCTTAATTTTTTTTTTTTAAATCTTCCAGATTAAAAGAAATGAGGATCTTATTTAGAGGATAAAAATGGATGTTTTTAGGAAACGTGTAAAAGAAATAGCTAGCGTTGCGTACTTTTTTCCGTCTTGTAAGTGAATACAAGTTTTTTTTCCTTCTTTTTCCCCACTAGGATCAAGTGCTTTTCTTCCTCAAAGACATTTTTGATTTTGAAAAGGTGAGATACTCAACTATGGAGAGTTTGGCTGAAGATCTTATGCAATTATTAATCCGACACACTGAACTTTTAATGGCCTATCTTGGAGCAGATTCGCTAAGACATGTCAGTTCTTGTGTAAGCGGTCACGGGCATGTCATGACCAGCGGGCTCTTAGAAGCAAAAGTACAGTAAGCTTAAAATCCATGGCAAATGAAATGGAGCGCACTTTGATGTACTCCTTCCCACCTTTCTCTCTAACGCCGAAGCTATCATTGCTGTTACTGAGCAAGCATCTGAAAATGTATCATGTCGCTAAGTATGGAAAAGGACTCAGGGAGGTTAAATGTACATCTGCAAAAAGAACTGGTGACCATATTATTGTATATACCTAAATTAAATTTGCAGCTCAGCTGTCACTGTATTGATACTTAATGTATCCCAAAGCTTTTTTCTGTAATATTTGGGTAAAGTTTATTTATTAAATGCTGTACTTTTGCACAGATAATTTGTAAGTGAAGCTGATGGAGTTGTTTCCTTTAAAGGCTTATAGTGCAAAATGTTCATTACAGAGTCTCCCAATCATTGTGTGTCTAGATCTAGAAGGTGTTTCGACTGGGGTATATGCAGTCTCTGATTCATGTGACACGTGCAATAAAGTAATCACACTCACAAAACTGAACATGTTGCCACTGCCCTGAAATTACATTTGTGTGGGTGTAAGCAGTCATTTTGTACTACCGTGTAATAGAGTGATGCAGGAAATGCAGGCACCATTTGAGTAGGAATGACTTCCAGTATGCATTTTTTACTTTGTTTAAAAATCATGAAGGTGTTTGAGAGCACTTATTTATATTCAAAAAGCTATGCTAGCTTCATCAATTAATTCAAAACTTTTCCTTTTTCTAAAACTGTTACTACTTTATATGGTGGTGGTAAATAAACTAGTACCATTCTCAGTTCATATGTAGCATTTCAAAATATATTTTTAAATAAGGATGTATGATGAGATTTGTTAATCATGAAACAGAATCGAAGGCTGTGTTTTATGATTAAAAGCATTTCCGTCTTCCTCCCTTCCTTGTTAGGAAGTCTGGTGTCTATTTAAGAGGAGATGTAAGGAATTGTGGCCGTCTAAGTGCAATGCAAAACTGTGGCTCAGGATATGGAACCCTGAGCTTTAGATAGGAGCAGAGCACAGTAAGGAGGCATGAGGGAACTTGCAGTAATGTTTTTTTCCTGTGCTAGAGGTAATAAATAATGATGATCTGTAATCTTTGAATTTCTGTAAACTGAAACAACGTTTCATAGTTAGCTTAGGCTTTTAAACTACACTTACATATGCTTTGCCACACAAAGCCAGCCCGCAAGAATCTATGCTGTGTCAAGTAATACAGAGTAAGTAATTACAGAGTAATTCTAAATATTCAGATACTTGAGAAGCATGTTGTTAAAATCTAGCATATTGAAACAAACATCGATTAGAAACATTTCAACTTTTGTTGCAAACACCACCCAAACCAATGATATTTGAAAAGGAAGATCTGTGTAATTCCATAGATTTTACTGAAGCTGACATATTCCTCCTTTGTTGTACTCATTTGATAAATATAACAGTGATGAAAATGTGTCATATGACTTGTGTGAAATGCCAACTGATTACAGTTTATTAAAAAAAAAAAAAAAAGTATGCTTCTACGTGTAATAAAACAGAAATTCCAAATGCTGCTGTTGGCCTATTTCCACCATTCAAGTTGCTGAACCTGGCACCATGCTCCATCCTATACTTTTTTCTCCGCAAAGTATGTCTTCAGTACCACAGAATGTGAAGGTTTTTTCACCCATCTCACTTAGGTTAAACATACTTATCTCCCCCGATCACACTGCTCAGAAGCATCTGTATGTTGGCAGCTTTTTGCAAGTCTATGAATGGAACTGGATGGAACAGTAAGGTGTCTCATTGGGTTCCGAATCAATAGGAATAGCTGGAAAAAGCAGGAACAAAGTGGCGTGTTCCACAGCAAACGTACGACCTGGAGGTTGCAATGTGTCAAAGGAAACTGTCTGCTGTGATTTGTCTGGTCTAATAAAATGATATGAAGAAAATGACACCTTAATATTCATCACAGAAAAACCGAAACACACTTTTTCACAGAAGTAAATGTATATTTAAGTGAGCATTTTTCATATTATTTATAAAAAGCTCTTGGAGAAAGTGCAACAGCGTTGCACATGAGATTATAAATGTTTCCAGATAATTTAAAAGTCGATCTTCTGTTGAAACTGAAAGGATTATTTTTTAAACAGAAGAATGAAAAAGGTCTAATGAAACCCAAAATATTTAGAAAATGGGTAAGAACCTGATAATATCTGGCTTAAACAAATGTCTCCCTTTAAATTAGGAGCACTTCCATGCACTCATAGAGGTCTCAAAAGTCCATAGAATCGGGTTGGAAATTGGACAGATGTATTTTCCATCCAAAATAAGAGTTACAGTATCTGGGTGCTGTAAGATATCACCAACAATTATTTGATTCAGAAACAGTTAAGAAAGGAAGAAAGAAAGAGAGAGAGAGGGGAAGGGAAAAAAAGAGAGGGGAGGAGGGAAATGCGCGGGTACGTGCGGGTAGGCTTTTGATCTCCTCTGGGTCTCTCTGCACCTTTTCCCAAAAAGCATTCATCTGTTCTGTCCTTCCTAACTCCAGAGACAGAGCTATGAATTTAAATGGGAGATAGCTGTCTCCTTGTAACACAGAACTGGGATCGGTTCGGTTACAACCGAAGGTTTATGCACCTTAGCTAAGAAGGCGTATAAAGAATATCTGTTGATAACCAGCCATATGGCTTAAGAATTTCAAAAGTCCGCCATCTTTGGAAACACAAGTGCCAGAGCTGCACCAAAGCAACCATAGCGTGGTGCAATTCTGCTTTAGTGAATTCATAAGCAAAATCAGAATTTAGTTTATAATCTCTAAATTTTTACATAGTTTTGAATGCTACTTTCCAACGCTAATAAGAACAAGCTAAATTTAAAAGCCATCCTCTTCTGCCGTAACTGTACTCCTAAGATCAGAAATGTTGAATGTGTAGGGATTATACAAGAATCAAATATTTATATCATTTGTAATTTAGTTGTAATAATAATCTCACTTTTAATGTGTTCTTAATTATTATTATACTTCACTTTTGTAGTCTTTGGTTTCTATCAAACTAAACATGTCAAATCAAGCGTGAGAGTAAGTGTATTTGTGAACTTTCTATTGCCTAAATGAACTGCAGTTGTGTATATTAAATAAAATAATTCAGTGAAATGACTGTTGCTCCTGTAACTGTATCTAAAACTTGAGTTTGCTCCCTGAAATCTGACAGAAAACAACTATTACAAAATTTATAATATACATGAAAAAGAAACAGAATGGAAACAGCTTTTGAGCTCTCCAGTTTAAACTGATTCTGTTGACCTGTTTAATTTTGCTTCTATTAAATGGTCCACAGCATTGACAAATTTTCAACACATAGGCCAGTGATCCATCAAAAAGCCAAATATTGGTGTTTCTAGTCTTGGAAGTCAAAAGGTGATTCGGCCAGACACCTTAATAAATGAAGAAACCCCCAACCTAAGGATGGCCATCGTGGCTTGCGGACATGATGCAGGCGAGGCAGATTCAAGCGGTGCGACCCGGGCGGTGGTTGCTCAGCTGGCGAGATCCCTGCCTATCGCATGAAGCAAATGGTTTAATTGCATTCATCTCTCTATGCCAAGCTGTTGCCTCTTTCCTTGGTTTTAGGAGATGAGTTTTTCCAGGATTATTTCCAAACCAAACTGCTATAGCCAGCTCCAGTCATGGAATAAGACTTCCTTTGTGGGGTAATATAAATAACGAAATGAAGAACATAAAGTGTTTAATCCTTACTGCTGTAGAAGGGCAATGTACATACGCTTTGATCCACCCAGATTTGTTTAATGTGTTATATGTGTTCGTCTGCTGAAAACTGTTATTTTACTGAGAGTCGAAAGCCCTACCTTAACTGAAACCTTGTGCCTTTGCTTCAGAAATAGGAGTGCAGCTATTCTGAGGGTGGCACTGGGGGAAAGTTCCTGCGCGGGCCTTCAGAAGACAAACACGTTTTGTGTTTTCACTTGGATGGCCGTTGTTGAGATTCGCAAAGCCTAAGGTCCTGTGGTGATCGTCCTTGTATTTATAATCCAGCTGAAAGTTAGGCTCCGGTGTCGCAGACGCAGTACAAGTGAGATAGGAAGAAGAAAGTTCTGGACTGGAGACTTTGCTATTGAACATGTAGGAAACGAGTCGTCTCTAAGCAGGAAAAGGAATGTGTTCAGTTGTAATAAAATCACGTTTCTGCCTCTGCTTTGTAAAGTTTCCAGAGAAGGGCGCTGCTTTAAACCCAGCGCGCTCTCCATCTCACAGGTCTGGCGCTAGCTCGATTCCTCTCCGCTCCATCAGCTAGCTGTCACATTACTATTATTAGTCGATTGCTCTCCATGTGCCTTACGACGGCCCAGGACCTGCCCGCGGTCGGTATAAAGCCTCCCCGCTGCCGGGGCACGAACTAGCGGCGGCGGAGCGCTCTCTGCCAGCCCCGCGCTTCCCCGCCGGCTCCGCTCCGGGGCCGGCAGCTGAGGGCGGCGGGTCGCCCGGGCTGCGGGGGGTGGTAG